GAGCTGTTTCTCTGTGTAGCAAGAGCAGAGGAAAATTGTACATAAGAAAATATTTACATGTAGAAGCTAGATGTTTATGGAGATTTCATAGCATTCTGTTGTGCAAACCGCAATTTTGAATAGTTAAAATGCTCATTATTTGTGAAAAGATTCAGGTTCTAGACTTTGACGGCAGAACACAGCTCATATTTGTTCAGAAATTCATAAGGCGAATCAAGTGAAACAAGGTCAATTCAGTCTGATTAGCAGGCTAACGAACAGGAATATTTTTCCTTAATTTTCCACAAAGGGGCACAGGCTTTGGTACTAACTTGGCTGACAGAATGAAACACTCAGATATGATCTTCAAATGAGGGCAGAAAGAAACCCCTCACCCTGTTGCCACAACAGCGTAGGCGTTCTTGGCTCGTTCATAGAAAGAAAACCTTTCCACCTTCTCCAGAGGAGTCTATATGTAAACAGAAACTGAATGATAAGAGTCACACATCAAAGGAATACAAAGTTATTTTGTGTTACCTAGAAAATGGTTTAATCATTGGGTGAACATGCTGTTTTACCTGGGACCCAGCCTGGCCCAGGAGCTGTGTGTAGGTGTCCCACACAGGGACAGCCAAACATCTCTGTTTATCACTGTCCACCAGGTCCATTACTGCAGCCTGTGGAAACAAACAAACAAACAAACAAAACTAGCCTATAGGAGATGCCGTCAACAAGACATCACTCAGTGGTTTTAGCTTTAGATTTACGGGTCCTGTACCGGAGAGGGGACATATGTATCCAGAGGCAGCAGCTTCAAAATGGCCTCCAAAAGCTGTGGGATTCCCAAACCTACACAAAGTTCACACAGAGATAGAACAACTACTCCAATACACACACTCAGCCAACATTTTTGTTTAAAAATGGTTGTGTTTACATACCATCAGCTCTTATCTCTTTTGGACCACAAGCACAAATGGAGGATGCAGGAAAATTTGCATCAGCAAGAACTGAAAAGACAAAAAGCACAGTGAATCAGTGAATGGCTGAAGGAACTATAGTGTATGAAATGCGTGGTTGTCATTGGTGTAACCTCAGGTTAATGATCCGCTCTGCTCTGTCATTCTTTACACCGGTGTTTACTTGAATTAGCCCACTGCCCTAGTGATTGTACACACATGACGGTATAGGCTAGCAATGCACTGCCTATAAGAACAACGACACATGTGCAGGCTATGTAATTACATATCATACCCAGTTCATCGCCGTGACCCATTTTAGCGAGAGCATACAGCAGTTCAGGTGACAAAACAGCGGGGACTCCTTTCAGCACCACCATAATGACAGTCAGAGAGCGGAGAGTGGGGACACGAAGCGAGAGCAGTCCCCCCAGCCCACTTCCGCCTTCCTTTAGGCTTGTCAGTGCTAGCCTAATACAATAGTCTGTAACCAGAGGGACAAAGCTTCACGTTCCGCATATTTAGCTACCACGAGGGTGTCTTCTGTTGGTTAGGGAACCGAACTGTAGACTTTTGTTATTTTTCGGTCTGCCGGGCGCAGGTGTTTGTAAACGTAACTATCCTGATATCTAACATCGTCTTTGTAGACGCAGGGAAACACTTCCGTTTTGATTGGTTTGAGAGGCTACCGCATCCAGCCCCATTGACAGACTTGGAATTTAAAAAATATAGACACAAATCGTCCCAGTTTATAACATCAATAAATGGAATTATTATCCAATTTCGTTCATAGCACGCATAGTAAATAGAATTATGAAAAATACGTGCATAAAATAGCTGCTATTTAGGCTACTTTTTGTGTTAATTTCCAAAAATGCGCACAGTTTTAAGAAAATGTTATGTAATAGTTTCGTGGTAGCCTATGAAGCTTTAAACCAGTTTAACGCAATTAGTAAGATGCAATGCATAGTCGGTTAATCTCTAACACCCCTGGGTCTGTATAGTATAATTCAAAGCAAACACCGGTGAACGTGTTTTCCAGATAACGCTTCCTGGTGCCAATGATGTGAGATAAAGAAAATAAGTGTCAGATGAAAACCACTACACCTGTTTTATCTGAGTCAGATCAACTCTCAGTTGGATGACGGAAAAATGCTCAGGACTCCTTTACCGCAGACTCTGCTTCTGTAAAAAGCAGAGCTGGTATAAAAAGGTTTTTATAAAAGTCAAGTCACAGTTTGGCATTGCAACCTGAGCAATAGACGCGTGGGCTTTATAGGCTACTGATTCATCTGTTAAATCTGCAAATATAGGCTATAGCCTATTGCCTATATTCCTCTCCGGGACTTGTGATGGTCTGTCTGTAATGCATCTAATATAGCATTTCAATCCATAGCACATGCAAAAAATTGAACTAGACGTCAGCAATAGTCCCCTGTGGAGAAGGATTGACGTTTGTGTAGCTTCGTCCTTAAAATAAAAATAATAAAAAAAACAACAACTCAGGACCTCAACATCCTCTGAATTAGGAAGGAAATTAGGGGAGGAAAGAGAAACAGGTGTGTTAGTGGGAGGTGCTTAGGTAACAATGGCCAAGCATGAGACGCATCAGGTTTCTTTTCCATGATCTGGCAGATAACCTGTAGTGAGACTGGTTTAATAGAGCCCAAAAGCATTTGGTAATTTAAAGTAACTTCAGATAAATGAATAGTTCTGAGGTTTACCATTTTGTACAAAGACCATTTGGCATATTTGGCAGTCACCTCCTTGTATTTTTAGTGAAGCTAAGGGAAATGACCTTCTCTATCCAAATACAGTTGATTATCTGAACAGGGTAGCAACTCACCAGAACCCTGGGGCTGTAAGTATTTCGAGAGTCTTCTGTTGAGGTATGCCACAAAATATTTTTAAAGTTTGTTCATAGTAACTACTGTTTGGTTGATTGTTCTCTTATTGCTTGTATAGTGATTTGCAAGCCCAGAGATGTAGCTAACGGGAGGGCACACAGACTCATAGCTGCCTGGATTGTGTGGACTAAACGTTTTTGGCATTTTTGAGAAATGGTACATGTAACTTATAATTTAGTGTCACTGATAATGCCGTGATTAAAAAAAAGTTATTGTCTTTTAGTTGGGCACTGGTTATTAACCAAATAGCATGGTGTTATTTAGTTTTGATAATTTTAAGGGGAGAAAATGACTAACACTGGTCCTTCTGTCTTTCTGTAGGGCTTCCTGGTGGCAGCATTGGTTGGTGTGGCACCTAGATGTGAAGTTGTGTGTGTATTAATTTAGCCTATAGATTGGGTGAGTGGTGCATTTCATTGCAAGGGTTTTGGGGTTAGGTTTTTGTTTGTTTGCCCCTCTATCGCCGACATGACTGAGGGGCAGTGACAGTGTAGCTCAGGCCTATGAGTGTTTTTTGGAGAGGGACCGGAGGCCACTGCACAGGGGAAATGGGTCTTCCAGGAGCCAGGCCTGTCTGCCGAGCTGAAGGCTCCTTTCTCCCTCTCTGGAGTCATGCTGCTCTCTTTTTATTGTGGCCTCTTTAAATGAGTTTATCACGCTATGAGGGTCTGTCTTGCCAAAATGTAATGTTTTGCACCCCCCACTTATCTGTGCAGAGAGCCTCAATTGCGTCTACATTTATTATTTTGACCTTTCGGTAGCCTCAAAGAGGAGCTTCTTTTCGGTTCCCCTCTGCAGACTTGTGCTTCCCCATGGAGCGAGGAGACTAGTGTTTTCTCACCCTTTAAGGTTTTGTTCCAGGGAACTCCGGGGGGAATATTGAATGAAAATAAAAATCAATTAGGCCATGCCTGGTGGAGATATGGGGCGCTGCCATGTGAGAATCAGAGAGAAAAGGTGCATTACGATGACTGGAGTGGCACAAGAAAGCACACACTAACCATGTTTGTTCTGGTGTTTCTTGTATCAAAATTATAGTTTTATGTGCACCCCAATATTTTCAGCCAATGGGTGATGTGCAAGACCTATAGCCTATTGAAAAATCTGCAAGCTTATTCTTTTCAAATACTGACAATGAAACTACATTTCATGTGTCCTCTTTGGCATGCAGCAGCAGTATAAGTACTGCTGATTAAATCCCTCTAGATAAATTTAAGAGTTACAGATGTTATCTGGTTTGACATTTTGCCGGCCACAGTATAAAAGAGAGCTCTTTGGTTTGGGCCGTTTCCTTTGGTAAATTGCTGAACAGGTGCTCTGATCTAAGGATTTAAGCTAGACACTCACTGGCCACTTTATTAGGTACAGTTGTATGCAATTCAGTGCAACACTTCTGCCTTAACATCTGTATTTATGAAGCTCAACACATTTGTTCTTGGTGAAAACATATGAATATATGTTTGCAGGTTAGTTAAAGGTAGTATAGTACTGGACTACATTAAATTCAGAGGTGTTCCTAATATTCTGACCCCTAATGTATGTATCTGGGAAGGACAACAATATAGACACCTGAATATAATGTAGTCCAGCACCACCTTTAACTGTAACCTCAATAATAAACATAACTGAATTTATATATTTATGAAAATTTCACCCCAAAACATTTTGATCTTCATCAACACAGATGTTAAGTTCAAGGTGTTGCACTGAATTGCCTACAATTGTACAGGGGTACCTAATAAAGTGGCCACTGAGTATGTTTGTGTAACTCCTGTGTCTGACTTTTTTCCCCCAGCATCTAAATAACTTAACTCATTTGTACCAAATGAAATGGCATCTGCAGATGACCAGGCCTGCACAACAGGCCCATTGAATTTGTCTCTGTCCAATTTTATGTACCTTTGTTGAACAGCACAGGGGCGCCATCTAGTGGTGTGAAGAACATACTGGCTTAGGTGAGTTTCTACATGTAACTTGATTATAGTTTAAATTTATAGTTGCTGCAGTTCTTGTATATTTCAAAGAGATGACAATCATTCTCTGAAACCAGCATATTTATGAATCACAAATAGGTGAATTTGAATTACATAGTCACTGTATCACATATGCTAAATCTTACAACACGCCATTAACTGTGTTCAATACAGCAGATGCAGCTTATTTCTGTTCATGTTACAGTACTGAAAATCACTGTAGAGCTTTATTTGTAAAATGTAGACCAGCATTTGACAGTGAAAATGAAAAGGCAGAGTCGGTAAAACTGATTCCACCTTCTACACACTGACTATAATGGTTGTCAAAAGGTCTTCAAATGCAAACCCACTGCACTCCTGCACCCAGACTACATTTAATTTTGATACTGAGCCTCAGCAGGCAGGGCTTCACTGTGGTAACACACTCTCAAGCACTCACTCAGTGCCAAACATCTTGCATGTTCCATTACCATCAGGATTTTTTACATCATTCAACTTATTGCCACTAAGGAAATGACTTGCTGAGCTTTGTGTTCTTGGTGAACTCGATTTGCTCTTTCCTACTTGTCCTGGAAACTAGCCTTTCTCTTCTCCACAAATGCTGTCATGCCTTCTTTACGATCATCCTGTAGTGGGGGAAAATATACACATATCATGATTAGTCCGTTTTATTTAAACAAAACCCACCCCCTGATCTGACACTGGCTCTCCTACTCACAGTAGCAAAGGTAGCATAGAATAAGGACTTCTCTAAACGACTCCCCTCAGCCAAGGTCAGTTCAAAGGCTGTAACAACACAGAACAAGTCAGGCAAAGTCAACCTAAAAATAATATTTGGGAAGTGAAGTTTTTTTTTATTTTTATAAACACACCTGCATTAACAGCCTCTTTAGCCATAGCAGAGACCAGTTTAGAGTTGGCAGCAATTTTCTCCCCACATTTAACAGCTTCAGACACCAACTGGTCCACAGGATAAACTCGACTCACCAAACCTGAGGAACACAGACAGTACAGCCTAACATAATAAGCTTACATCCTATCTTTAGTCAAGTGCATGTCTGTGCTCTAAAACATTTGCCATCTGTTACCCAGTGGTGGAAGAAGGGGAAAAAAACAAAATCAATGTTTTCCATGTATAATATTAAAAAAAAAAAAAAAAAAAAAAAAAAGCCACAAACACATGGACAGTATCGACTCTTCTTGTTCTCATTTTAAATCATAATTAATTTGGCTTGTTATTAGACCACAGGACCACTGCAGCCGGTTGAGTCTTCTCTGTTGTAGTGTAACAAGTCGGCTAATTTAGCTAAACAAAGCAAAGCCTAGGTTCTTACTAAAAAGTTTTAACATGCATTTTTTATGAAAAATGAGTGAATTATCCTCATTGAACCATAATCTGTGAGAGGTAAAGAACACCATTGCACTAAATATTGATTGAAATGGTTAGTAATGGTCAAATTGACCCAGGAACATCACTGCTGTTCCTGAGAAACTAACATAACAGGCAGGTTAAGGAATCCATGGGGTGTACCACTTGTTAGGTTACTGCCATAGAAATGCAGGCATGAATTTTTATTTTAGGAGGAAAGAAATATCTCACCCTAGTTTTTGGGGACCTTGGGGGTCCCTAATAATATATCAGTCATAAAATGTGCCCCCCCCCCCCCCTGCAAGTCTTCCAGGGCCTGAAGCAGCAAAACAGCCCCAGACCATCCCACTACCACCACCATATTTTACTGTTGGTATGATGTTCTTTTTCTGAAATGCGGTGTTACTTTTACGCCACACATAATGGGACACACACCTTCCAAAAAGTTCAACTTTTGTCTCGTCTGTCCACAGAGTATTATCCCAAAAGTCTTGGGGATCATCAAGATGTTTTCTGGCAAAACTGAGACGAGCCTTTATGTTCTTTTTGCTCAGCAGTGGTTTTCGTCTTGGAACTCTGCCATGCAAACCATTTTTGCCCAGTCTCTTTCTTATGGTGGAGTCATGAACACTCAGCTTAACTGAGGCAAGTGAGGCCTGCAGTTCTTTGGATGTTGTTGTGGGGTCTTTTGTGACCTCTTGGATGAGTTGTCGCTGCGCTCTTGGGGTAATTTTGGTCGGCTGGCCACTCCTGGGAAGGTTCTCCACTGTTCCATGTTTTCGCCATTTGTGGATAATGGCTCTCACTGTGGTTCGCTGCAGTCCCCAAGCTTTAGAAATGGCTTTATAACCTTTTCCGGACTGATAGAGCTCCATTATTCTCTTTCTCATTTGTTTTTGAATTTCTTTGGATCTCGGCATGATGTCTAGCTTTTGAGGATCTTTTGGTCTACTTCACTTTGTCAGGCAGGTCCTATTTAAGTGATTTCTTGATTGCGAACAGGTGTGGCAAGAGAAATTGAACTCAGGTGCGATAAACCAGTGTTTTGACAGGGGGGCAAACACTTGTTCACACAGGGCTCTATAGTTTTGGATTTTGTTTTCCCTTAATAATAAAAACCTTCATTTAAAAACTGCATGATGTGTTTACTTGTGTTATCTTTGACTAATATATAAATTTGTTTGACGATCTGAAACATTACAGTGTGACAAACATGCAAAAAGATAAGAAATCAGTAAGGGGGCAAACACTTTTTCACACCACTGTATATTAGGTTATTAATGTTCCAGTTTGTAAAGAACATATTGTTTTATCTGGTTGAAGTGCATCTAGATGTATTTACTTTAAAATCAGTTGGGAACCATTGGACACACTTACCTAACACAGGTTGGGTCCCCTCCAGTAAGATGATAAATCTAAGGTTTAGGTATAAAGCAATAAACAACGCAAGTACTAAAGGAAGAGTGACTCAATTGTCCTTAGTGCTACAATATGCAACTTGCCCCCAGATTCTGTATTTGTCGAAGCTTTGAGTGAACCTCACCCTTCCAATCAGGGATGGGCACTCGCAGCTGTCTGGTCTACTGCGCCTCTTGTAGCGAGTGTTCTTGTAGGATTAGCTGCTAGAATATGCCGCTGTGGCTGACTCTCAGGCTTGCAAGCTCCTGATTCCTGCATTAGGTAAGTCAGTGCACACACTTAAGGGCTTGGTGGAGCGTAACGGAGTAGGAAGAAGGAATGGTGAGAGGAATGGAGTGGTGTGCTTTCTAACTCGCATATTGTAGCTTTAGGTACGATATTTGAGTTACCTTCAATACTTTGTTACCTTCATCACTGCTGTTACCTGATTGCTTGGCTTCTTGAGCATTAATCTTGTCTCCTGTTAGTACCATCTCCATAGCCAAGGATTTGCCTACAGCACGGGTCAGCCGCTGGGTGCCCCCCGCTCCTGCAGCAGACGGACTTCATGAACAGCTGCTCCAAAACAAGAATCTGGCAGTCTTGGTTTAAGGGGGTAGAGTCTGAACAGGGAAAGACAGACAAATGAGCCTTTACCAGGGATGGTTCCCAGGAGGATCTCGGGTTGGGCGAACTGCGCCTTCTCTCCAGCATAAATGATGTCACACATCATTGCCAGCTCACAGCCACCACCCAGCTGAAAACAGCAGAACACAACATGAAACACAAAAGTCTGGGTACGGCCCTTTCCCCCCTCTGTAACATTATGATACCCCTTGTGAATAAAGTGAGTTTCATTAAGAAATTATTTCCTGGGTATAGTGTGAAGAACCTGACTAGCCTGAAAAAAGAGCAACGCCATTCAGCATCTTTAAATTAGAACTACTAACAGGCCTCCTCGCTTAGCATCACTAATACTCTTGTAGAAAGCCTTGACAGGCGATTGGAGGCGCATTCATGACCCCATACAAGTGGTATGTTTGTGTCCACATACCTTTAACCCTATATGAAGGGTTACAGTACAAAAATGGCAAACACAGCCATTACTTGTATAACCTTGAACAATGCAATACTGACATTTTACATGAGGAAAAAATGTTTTTGAAAATGAGTTCACTTGTTAGTTTTGCTTAGTATCTTTAACACAAGAGGCATTTGCTTTTCTTTACTCAATTCCCTATTGCAATTTTTCTTTTGTATCTGCTCTAAATCACACTACCTCCCCTAAACTAATAAAACAAAATACAAAAGGACCCACAGCAAATCCATTAACAGCTGCAATCACAGGCTTCTTCACTGTGGACACTCTGTTCCAGGTAGCCAGGAAATTTTGACTGTAGTTCTCCTGAAAAGTTCGATTCTGCATCTCTTTGATGTCCGCTCCAGCTGGAAAACAAAAAGTGAGTTTACTGCTGATTCAGCACTGTACATTGTACATCACCTTCTCCTCGCAGGAGGAAATGTGAAACCACAAGCACTTAGTTCCCTCACCAGCAAAGGCTCGGTCACTGCCGGTGATGACGATAGCCCCAACTTCGCCATCAGCTTCAAAGCCGTCCAGAGCCTGTCCCAACTCCTTTATCAGCCCATCACAGAGAGCGTTGAGGGCCTTAGGTCGGTTCAGCTGGATGAAACCCACATTCTTCTTCTCTCCTCGCTTTTCCACCAAAATATACTCGTAATGAGCACCTGCATTAAGACCAAACCAAAACTGGTCAGATGAGTCAGATTATTTTGTGCACTTATTAGTCTTTAGAAGAATAAACTAACTTAGACATTGCATTCCTATGACAGCCGCATGATAGAAAATTAAAAAACAACTCAGACACAGCAGCACATGTGATATCATTTTTCAATCATCTCTGGTTTATGCGTCATCATTGTCAAACCCTGGTGCCTACAGTACCCACAATGCAACTCAACCACCATTCAGTCTAAGATTCAGGTGTGTTATACTAGAGGCAAATGCAGCCGCTGGCTGCTAGCTTCAAACAGAAATGAGGTTCAAACTACAAGTGTGTGTGCCACACACTTGTCCCTCATTCCACAACCCCAGATTTTTCCCCATTTAAACCCAACATTCTGTGAACATTTCCAATTTTCCAGTTTGTTTAAAATTCACACACAATCAGAATCTGCTTTATTGGCCAGGTGTGTCGGACACGTGAGAAATTTGACTGGTACATCGGCTCTCAATGTGCATGTACATATCCCCATGCAAGGGGCAAGTAAACAGTAAACCAACATAAGGCTGGTGTTACAAAATAAGCAGTATAAACAGGCAGTAAACAATGCAGACAGACAAAGGAATGCTCATTGTGAAACGACTTAAATAGGAATAAAAATAGAGTACTTAGCATGTCAAGAAAGGACCTTCCTTTAAGGTACAGCACTCAAACGATTTGTGGTGTTAGCTAACAACATTAAGGTAGGCTATATACAGAAACGTAATAACAAACACAAGTTAGCTACAGTCTGCCTGCTCCACACACGTCGCACATTGTGACGCAGATTTCTTGACATTGTTGCAGGGCCAGGTACAACAAACTGACCCCGGACTAGTTTTCAAACACTCACCTGAGCTGCAGAGGCGAGCAGCAGACACGAGAACCGGCGCTGCTCTGGAAGACTTTAGAAGCAAAGCGGCGCTTCTGCAGACGAAAGACATGACAGCTACGAAGACAAACTGTTGTTAATGAACTTACACTTCTTCTTCACCTCTTTTCATTCTTCTTATGATGATGTTTACTGGCGGTTTGCAAGCCAGCTTAAGATGCATTACCGCCACCTGTTGGGCTGGAGTGTGAAACAACCATAGAGCCGAAGGAATTACAAAGAAAGGTTCTTAGAATTGCAGAAACAACTAAATTCTACCCAAAATACCTAAAAAAAAAACCTCTAGGATGTTTACCTTTTTGTGCAGGCTATAATTTAAGCTTGTGTGACCTATTCTCAAACGAGTTATTACACTTTTCTTCTTCACCTCTTCTGACCACCAGCTGTTTCTTCCACCTGCGTCTTTTTTGTTGGCGTTTGTCACAAGGTATCATGTGACCGCCACCTGGTGCTCTCGGAAGGTATTACAGATTGTAAAATTTCCACAAAGTTTTCTGACCAACTCTCTCCCTTTTAGTGAAATTAAGTAAAATCTGCTTTATTACGGTAACTGCTTTGCTATAGCATATAGTAGCAATTATTATTTTACTACCTTCTTATTCTTTACCCCAGGGTTAATAATTGTATATAGGCTATGTCTACATATAAGCCAATAACAATAACTATGGTGATTGATGAGACTGTGTTGTTTGCTACGTCATCTGGTAAAGTGTTAAAGGGGAAATCTATCTCATTACATGATTTATTTACATCTTAAAAATACTAGCGCCCTGCTCAAGCTTTTATTTTCCCCGCTTTTATCAGGGCCTCCAATTATTCTTCAACAAAATCTGGAAATGTATTAGTGTTAAATCCCAATGCTATAATTTTCACAAAAGGATTAGGCCTATATCAAGAAATGATATGTAATTACAAATAGTTGCTTTTAGCAAGACGCTTCTGGTTGAGCGCGCTGCGCGTTCTCGCAGCCATCGACGTGAACAAGCCTGCATCGTCCGTGAAAACCCCCTATCATCTATTCTTCGAGTGTTAAAACACAACCAAGCGTAAAATCATAAGGAAATAGGGTAAGCACCATTAATTTGGATATGCTGCGTGGGTGTATGTGTTATACTGTTTTTCTTTTTAAATGGTGTGATTCCTTCAGGCTACGGTCCAGGAGCGTGCAGGCTAATTTATGACAGTGACTTGGATATCATACATACATTTGCATTGTACATTCATTTGTAAGCATTAACATATTGTACGTAGGATAAACATCTTAGTACATTAATACTTAATGGTCCAGTTCCCTGTTGAATCCAATAAGGCGTTTTAAATGATGGGCCTATAGCAAACATAGCTTTATTAATGATCATCCATACTGTGGAAGGAATATTATTTCATGTCGATGAAAGCTGAAAGCCAACAACAATTTTCTCTGGTGACCATATTTATTTTTAAACTGACCTACTTTAGTGGAGAGGGAAAACACAGGAATGAGTCTTTATGAAGACTGTATTCTGCAAAACTGAACACCACAGATATCTCACATCAGTAGTATAATCCTCATTTCTTCAGTGCTGTTGAGAACAGCTATGCCATCTGAGCTAATATTCTGAATTTTGCACAGCAGTGACCAATGCATAGAAAGCACTGGCCTCAGCTGGTTACTGAAATGTTCCCAAAATCAAATGAAGAGTCATTTTCCAACTAAATAGTCGATAGATGGATCATTTCTCAGTTTCACACACTACACCTGCAGCATAACCACCACAGGTAGGCCTAAAATGTGCTTCTTTGCTCCATGTTTTTTCCTGCACAGATGTCAGGAATGAACCAGGTGGTTGCAACATGCTGGACTTGCCTCCTGCTTGCTGCTTTCCTGTGTGAGCCTGCGTTATCCAAGGGCGGTCGTGGAGGATCCCGGGGCTCCTCTCGAGGGTCCCCCTCCCGCAGCTCCACAGCAGGGAGTTACCGGGGAGCGGGTGCCTATGGTGGGACCCGCTCTCGCTTCAGGGTGACAGGGCGGGCTTCTCCTGTGAGGGTGGCAGCTGCAGCAGCAGCAGGGGCAGCGGTGGCACTGTCCGCGGACAAAGGGTACGCCTCTGCTTACCGCCGCAGCAACGCTGACAGCTCAGAGGAAAATCTGGATTACTACAACAGGACCAATTACTTTGATGCATTAATGTCAGGCTCAACTCAGAATGGATCTTCTCTCTCTCAGCTGTTTTCTATCATTATTGCAACATTTTCTCCCAAATACGGACACTTACTGGACAGTATACTGTAGATGTTCAGGTTACTTTTTAGGATTCATTCCTGGTTTGGTCTAGGACTGAGCTTCTACCCTGGATCTGACTATGATGTGCAGGACTGTCTGGAACCTGCACAGTGATGGAAGTGCACAATCTCAAAATCACTCTACTGTATGTTTTTTCACATATAATAATTTATATCATATGTACAGTATTTATAGTGACCTCCCAGAAAGTGAGCCTTTTTTTGATCCGTTTCAGTTTGTCTAACAGAATCGTGGGACTGAACTAGAGAATAATCTGAAATGTTTTCTTCCCTAAAGCTTGATTCCTAAATGAAAAAAAGAAAAGACCAGAAACTAACTGATGACCTTCATAAAAAGTGTAATCAGTCTGCCAGGTGCCACTACTGCCAAAGTCTACTGTATCTTTAAAACAAAAATTTTTATTTTCATAATAATGAGTAACCGGTCTTGGTGCTCAGAGCAACCAAGGTAAATTATTTCAACATTAGCAGATTTGAGTCTAAATATAATGGACTGCAGTCATTCCACAGTTTTATAAAATTCACAGAGTAACAACCAAGTTTTCACCTGCCTTATTCAGAAATTTAAACTGCTATGTGTATTTTTTATTCTTCACGTGCTGCAAAATTTATATTTAGCCATTAATGCAAAACCTATCTTCCGGATCTTCCTCAGTGATCTGAATGATGTGGCCGTATCAGTAAATTCTCTACAACACAACAAGGCAAATGAGAGGCTTGTGCACTGGGGAGAGTTAAATTGAACTTTTTTTTTACAATCATCTTGAATTTCTGTTTGATTCTTACCTTTTTAAAACACCTGAAATTCAGTTAATTCATTTTCTCCGACCTTTGTACTGAGCCTGTGATATTTCGGAGGCAACACTGGGAAACAAGCTGCTGCATTCACTGTTATTCATGTCTCCGAAGGTTTTCACGGTCTGTCCATAATCACACAAAAGCTTTTTAACTCCAGTAGACACTCAGGAGAAACAGGCTGTTCCATATCTGTAAGTGCACTCTATTTACTATATACTGAACACTTATGTACATAATAAATACCGAGTTTGTTATCACTGTCTTTTATGCTAATAAAAATCCTGTTTACAACATGTCAGATATTTGCCTTGTATTCTAGAAGACATGCTCTGAAAACTGTTATATCTAAACCATGTCACAATATTTACAAAGGATACAGTGCTTTTTTTAAAACACAAGAAAATGAAGTGCACCATGTCTAAAGATTCTTGACCCTCCATGATAATTTTGTAATTGTGATGAATCGCACCAGGCTGAAGGCAAACTGTCCAAAATCCAAAACGAGCCTCTGGTTATCTCCATGAAAGTGGCTCAGGTCAGTCCAGCATTACTTTCCCCAGCTCTCCTTTCCTGAAGGTTCTTATGAAATCATAAGCTGCTGCTGTGTAGTTAGGGACAGTGACGGTAATGTTCCCTGAGGGAGACATTTTCATTACAGGACTACATTTTAAGACGTTGATATGATGGTGATCACATTGTCATCTGAAGTCAAGGTGCTCATATCTGGTCCCATGTGTGGATTTTAACACCTTCTTACCCATTCCAGTAAGGGCTTTGATTCGTTGGGTTTTTCCAAGTTTTACAGCAATGCGTTTGAGGACATGCTGGATGTCATCACTGGGCTCTTGGAGGTCGTATTTCTCTACATAACTGCACATAAGCATGCATACACAATAAACAGTCAGAGTGAAGCAAACAATAAATAAACTGACCATATGAAAGTTTACTCAGTCATAACATAGGGACAAAGTTCCACCTGAAATTCCCTAGCCTGTTCAGGGAATAGAGTAAGTAGTCAGCGATAACATCTTCACCAACTAAATGATCCAGTATAGTTCCTGAAGAAGAAAAGAAAAAAAAAAATCAAAATAATTGCTGAACTCTAGCGGTTTCTCTGAATACAGTACAACAAACACCATGTTCTGCTCACCACATAAAGCCAGCTTCATGCCTGTTTCAACACTCTCAATCTTAGGAGGCAAGACTCCCGGTGTGTCCAACAGGTGCATTATGGGTCGTTCACACACCTGGGGAGAAAGACAGCTCCATATACTGTACAGATGTGCACACTCAGTGAATCCATGAAAATACATACATTCAGTACTCAGGGACAAACATATCCTCTACACATACCTGAATTTTAGTCAGGACAGCTTTAGTTATACCTGGCTCCCCGCCGACTCGAGATGCACGCCCTGAAATTGGTGTATAACCAGAGCTGAGTATCATGCTGAATTAATGTCTAACAAATATACAACTACTTTATCATACATACCTTTTTTCAGGTTTGATCTTCTCAATGAGTTAATAAAAGATGACTTCCCTACATTGGGCACTCCAATCACCATGAGGCAGTAATTTAAATTCTGAAAGTTTTACATGACACGATCAGCACAATAGCATTTACCCTATCCTGTCTTGGTAATACATACTTATAGCAGATGTGTTGGTCTCAATGTTTGAGCTGGGGTGGGGGGTGCTAGTGCTAGCTTGATTTCCAGAACTTATAGCTTTGATTAAAATGTGCACTATCTTATAAAATTAGCTGGTGTACAGAAAGTATACCTCATCTCTGTTAAAGCGTGGATTGCTCTGAATAATTTCCATTATCATTGGCACCAACTGCAGAAAAACAAACAAAGAAACAAAAAAACAGGAATCATTTTTCAAAAAAATGTTTTTGATATTGGCAAATCAGCAAATGCTCAGTAATGATGAATGTTACCTTCTTGATGTTGTCATCTCTCTGCTTTAAACAGTCTGTGAAAAGAACATTCCTCACCCCCTTCTTTTCTAGTTTCTTCAGGATGGTCTGCCAGGTAAACATAAAGGCACTGCATTGCATTAGTAATTTTAAAATGCCAATGACACACAACTCTGCCAACACAATAGCAAGACTGCTTACCTGCTTGTCGGACAGATCAGCAAGGTCCATCTTGTTGAGAATGAGCATATGTGGTTTGACATCTAGATTCTCTTTAAATGCAGGGTTTCTTCCAGAGAAGGGGATATGCTTAATGTTAAAGAAAACTAAACATCAGCATGGTCAGATTAACTGGCTAGGCCTCTGACAATAAGGTCAAATATATAATAAATTGCTGGAGTGAGGATTTAGCTTCTGGAAGGCACAAATATTGAGCTCCCCTCTTTCAAACTGTATTTCCTACACCTGAAAAACATTTGTTTGTTAAGAGTGAAACTTTAATGTGCATTTAACATTACACAACATCACAGTTGCTAACATAATTTTTCCTCCAACTTGTGTTGTTTCCAAGTACTATATACCGTGTAAGTATCTTTAAGTATACCATCGTTACAGAAACACAAGGATAATTTACTTCTTCTTTCCTCTAAAATGTCCAGTTGTTACTTTCTTGCTCTACAAAGAATAATCTGGTTTTCTCCCAGTAGCAACCAGTGAGTAGCCTATTTTATTAGCAACTGATTCATACAATACAAATGCATTGTAATTCATGGACTTTACATAGAAGTGTTATGGAACAGAGCTGTTTTGATGCTGTTAAACTCTAGACATCTTCTGACACGACCACCAGAAAATATACTGTATTACCTTATTGTAACGCGACAGATATGCTGACTTGAATAATTAACGTGTTAAAAATAACATGGCACTCAAACAAAACACAAATAAAGGATATTCTGGCGTCGTGGATTTCTATTATGCAGTCCACACTCTTGAGGCTGGCTTTCATCTGCTTCAATCCTGCAAACAGTAGCATACGGTTAAACCACTTCTACGACAGTAATTTCGTGACCGGTACATTATATTACACACTGTACTGCTTGCACAGCAAAAGCTACAAACATTGACATTCTCAACAAATAAATCCTGTATATCTTGTTGATAACTTTAAGCAGAGTTGTCACCTTTAGCCATGTGTCTGGGGAACCAATGAGCCACTTCCCGTCCACCAAAGTCGAACACGGTTCTGAACTTGCCCACATTATGAAGTACCTGGTACAGTTTCATGACTTCTGTTAATATAAGTAAGATAACACACGACTTTTTGCTATGTTAAACAAACCCTTATTTTAGCCCATTAGCTACTCTCGCCGCACTGAGCGATATGAACTGGGTATATTGATGTGCTACACTGTTTACACTCCGACTCAAATTTGCTGTCAAACAACTTGGTTCCGTTTTAACTTAAAACTTCTTCTGTTTTTTTTCTTTTGTTCTCCAGTTTGTACGCTAACAACACTACTGCCCCCCCGCGGGATAAAAAGTAATTTACAAGAAATATAATCTCCAAAGGTATACTTTATAGACATACTGTAGACCTGTGCCTGCTTTGTAATCAGTTGGTTTCTACTGGCCAAATAGAGTTAAGAGAAAAACTAAAACCCTGAGATAATAGTCCCCCTTTTTATTTGAACAACCATGTTTATACAAATAAAAAGGCAAGTTCAGTATTACATTAGATTAATTAAATTTTATTGTCATTACACATGTACAAGTACAAGGCAACAAATACAGTTTAGCATCTAACCAGAAGTGCAATAACAGCAGTGTATTACAAAATGAACAAGAGAACAGACACACATGCAAAAACCTGAACATAAGAGAGAGCTCTAGAGAAACCCTGAGGTCATCACAGTAGGAAAGGCAAGGCAGCACATACAATACACAGAGGGAATTCAAAATGCTTTACATAGGCAAAGAAAAACAGTAACAGCATTAAAAACAATGAGCATTAAATCGGTACAACACTATTAAAATTAGATAAAATGAGGGGGAAAAAGAGAATGTAAAATGTCACAAACACTATTATCTAGTAGTTACAATTCAAAAAGTGCAGCATAAAAACCAGTAAAACTAAGGCACAGTAAAATAGAACAGTTTTCTGTTTAGACTTGAAAATGGCACATTTAAGGTCCTCACGAAGTTGGTTCCATCTGTGTGCAGCATAGTAACTAAAAGCAAGCTCAACCTCTTTGGTTCTGACCCAAGATTCGACCAGCTGACTTTTCCCTAGGGATTAATAGTTACTCTAAGGGACGAGAGGCACTTGGTGACATAGCTTAGTAAATCTGAGTGTTGTCTGTGTTTACTGTGTTCATCACTTGAAAGTTGCAGCTAGTTAAGGTGGAGCTAATGTTGACTGCCTTATATACATATAATTTGAAGCACTTTACAATGTTGTAAATTTCCCACCATTATCTGTCGTCTGATTATTTTATTCATTTGATTTTGAAAAGTGACTAAAGTTTTCAAATAAGTATGGCAGTAAAAGGTACAAAATCTGTATGTGAAACCCGTAGTATATCAGCAGCATATCATGCCTGGGAACCTTTCGAAATTTCAATGGACTAATATGAATGAAAAGCAACTCACACACACACAATGCTCTAGATCAACTCAGAAATTAGGGTTTGAAAAAGTTTCAGATATTATTATTATTAATGCTGTGATATTATTTATTTTTGTCTCCACTGTATTCCTAAGCATTGTTTAATGAGCCTAAGACAAACTTCTCTAAGGAGACGAATGAACTGTATCATATTGTATATTAGATATATATCTGATAAAAATTTTGGCTAAGGCAGTATTGTTATTTTAAAGTTTTGACGTGGCTGGCTGAGAGGGACCAACGGAGGAGTAGTGAGAGATGAGTCGATCGGCTTCTCTCCACCCTGTGAGCAGAGCTCCATGGACGGTAGAGAAGAAGGAGGGATGAGTAGCCTCTCCAGCAAACAACACCTGTAGGGGCTGAAGCAAACCAAGGCCGTTAGAATGAAGAGTCACAAACCTTGGTTAATTATGTATGTGTGGCTGTGTACACATTTCTGTTTTGAGTATGAACATGCAGGTACTTGTGACTGTGATCCCTTCGTAGGCAGGGGCTCCACCATGTTCTCCAAGTCCTGTGCTGAGCAGCCTTTTCCAAGGTAACTGTAGGATCCATGTGTCCAGGGGTCATGAAACCACTGGGAACGCAGGATTCTCCTCGGGGTGATGACAGGGTTACCTAAACACACACAGTTAGTCTATGAGTGCTGACATACCCTAGATCATTTTACAATGACCACAGTTAAGGAACAAAGTATGTAAAATACTTGTAATGGGAAGTAATACACTCTCAGTGGAGAAGCAATGTTTCCCAGTACTCATTTAAACTGACCTGTAAACCTACGAATAAGCTGTGTGATGGCCTGTGTGACCTCCTGTTCAGACAGCGTCTCCATATACTCGGACTCATGCCCAGCAATCCAGCCACACAGAACATGGCCATACCTGAAAGGCAACCCACAAGCAGGACTGCAGTCTTAATAAATACACTTGCCAGTTGATTTGCATCAAATACGACAAACAAGCAGGCAAGCATTTGTGCGCATAATGTGGTTGTTGACCTTTCAGTGGGTTTGAGCACAGTAAAGCCAAACAACTTCTTTATCCAGGGTCTCTGAACATCTGGCACCTGGTCCACCAGGACATCCTGAATCATGACAAGAGATAAAACAGACAGTTCAAGTGTTTGTACAATGCATGTTAGATTTGATGCTAAATGCTAACATAAGCATTCGAAGACATGAGAAAGGCTAAAAATGGTTGATTGACCCGGGCTATAAAAGATCATCCATATTCCTACAAGACCTCTTTTCCACGATGGTCATTCCAGTTGTCCATAGTGGCATATTCAGCTCTAGTGTTGCATCCATACAAAGAGGGTATAAAGCCAAGGAGAAGGTGAAGTGGGCCTTAGACCCCCATCTTCACCAGGAAACGCATGAGTCTCCATATCACACAGAGAGGCACTAAAAGAAGTGCTACTCAGAGAACTTACTCTGAAAAGCATGAGACAGATGTCTCATTGGATCAACCTTCTGCTGGGATGAAGTGAGAAGAGGTGTGCTTATTCTGAACAACAAGCAAATGGCTGATGAGTCCTGAGATATGACTGCCGGCTCACTCATGCTGTTTAGAGAAGTGGGGTTCACGTGTAATCTTAATATTTTATGTAGGCCATAATAGTTTTCTTCTCTCACATAAGTTTACTTTTGTGAATAACATTTTAGAAAGTCTTGAAAGAGATGAAACTGAGGAAAGTGAGGAGCCATGGTGTCCAAATAAAAAGCACCCCATGATTGTACTGTGTCAGCACAGGGTGATGTCAGGAGGAAAAGGCAGAGAAGAAGAACTGGTGGAAATAATGCTAGCAGGAGTCTGTATTTTGCTGAGGGAAGAAAAATGTACACCAGTGACACAAGGTTAAGTCAAATGCACAGGTATAATCCTGCAAAACCCTAGTATGTAAACATAGTAGCAGCACAAAATATTTTTATTTACAGTCTGATTAAATGTGTCGGCGCGTTCTGTACAGTAAACGTACAGTATACCTTTATACAGTGATGACGTGTCTCACCTCATCTTCCCACACCAAACAGATGCTATCACAGTCAGCGTCCCACCATGGTGAATCAAACTCCACAAATATTTTATTGTTTGTTCCAAAGCCCAGTCTCTGGATGGAGTGCAGCTTGTGTAGAGGGAGAGGAGGACGGAACAGAGTTGAACGGTGCTTCTTCAGGTATCCTGACAAAAGACAACAAAGCAGAACAAGTTAGCTTGTGCTCAGTGTGAATCTTGTCTCTGTTGTGCTTTACATTTCTCCACCTGTGTGGTGTTACTGTTTCATACAACAAAATCTAAACTGACAATAATTATGTAACAAGAACAGGAACTTGTGCTCTGAGTTGCAGCTCCACCTGACATTTCATGCACTGAGGCTGACAATATACAGATTTTGGCTGTCTGTGCATATGATTCTACCTAGAGGTACAGTGACAATGACGTGATCAGCAGCGATCCTCTCCCCATCGTCACACTCAACCACAATAGGGTTTTCTCTCTTCTCTGAGTTGCTCCAATGGACACAACGCACAGGCCGATTGTAGCTCACTAAACCACTGGGGAGCTCCGACATCATGTTTTTGATTAGCCCTTCATAGCCACTACATGAGAAAGAAAATTATGCTTTCATGACAGAGACACAATCAGTTAAATAGCAGAATAAATAATATTAATACTTAGTATTGCTGTTTTATTTCTACTCAGGGCTGTTTGATTTGATATTTTGGCCAGGTCTCTTACATTTAAGCTTCTATATCTGACAGATTGGGGTCATAAAGGTTGCCTCCTGGCAATTGGGGTCATAAAGGTTGCCTCCTGGCAACAACATCAATGACATTTGAGATTTGCTTGCTTATCTTTATTTCATGTCACTATAAAAAAAAATTTATTGTGTATTTTTGTTTGCTGGCCAGACAGGCAACTGGAAGACATAACATTTAGTTATGAAATTATTAATATGCAAATATAGCCAACAATGATTTATTGAAAATAAATACTGGTACTTTCTGCACCATATAAATGCAATGATGAAGTACAAACCCTGGGAATGTACAGTCCAGTCCAGGTAGAGTCTTGTAAAGACCATAGGCCCCCGGACCCACCTCATCCATGCTGTGAGCCCCATTAACACAGCACTCGCCCTTCAACAGGTTACTGATCATACACAGTCGCAGAGATCTGGTGGTTGCATCAATATCTTTCCACCTCTCTGCTGCTCGTCGTTGCACCTGCACCAGACAACAAGCAACAAAACTGACTTTTTATTCTTGCAAATTTCACTTTATTATCAAGAACGTAACATATTCCAGCCGGTCCTGAGCTCAGATATTGGCAGCCAATAGTATTATTTGTTTAGTCACTGAAAGAAATGTACCTCTGTCCGTAAAAATTCTCCCACACTGGCGCAGGGTTCTCCACCCTGACTATGAAACTCTGAGCATTCTTTCAGCAGCTCAGCAAAGAGCTCCTCAGCAGGATAGAGGTCCTCAGCATTCAGCTTCCGACCTGCACACATCACATAACCCACAGAATACTGACTGAATATCATCAGAACTGCCAACTTAAATCACTTCACTCATACAGTGCAGTAGGTATTTAATAACCATGTAGCATTAAATGAAATACACAAGTACCTGCAGGTGTGGCTTTAAATCATGTTAACTGCATCTATTCTGTTCTCTCTGACCTGCTGCAACTCATGTGGTAGAGTGCTATAAAAACTGTTATAAAGTCTTATCTTAAAGCAATAAAGTACTCTGTCTACAGCGAGAGGGCACACTGAAATGACTAGGTACTGCACTGCAGCCTGTTGTGCAGCCACCAGGGCAGCATAAGGGGGCAGATTATTATTCTGCTTGTCCTCTGAGTTATATTATCTGAGGTATAATCTACCACATGTATTTCAAATTTAAGACCAGAACCCCAAACTATGGTCTAAAGTAATATGAACTAAAATAACATCATCATGCCATGAAAATTCACCTTACTACTCTTTCAGCACTCCATATGTAGTTTTCTACAGCTACCCCTGAATCAGACTGAAAGGTTGATTTAGCTCTACTTTCAAACTCTTCACATTAAAATAGGCTGTGAGTTTTAGAACATCTGGTGACCTGAACTGCAGAAGACGTTGGGAGTCCAGGGAGGCTGTTCTTCGATGTCCATAGCCTGATTCTCCGGGGTGAGGGCCTCTGGATCCAGGAGCCCGTACTTACGAGCCAGACAAAACACTGGGTTCTCCTCAGATGGCCCATGGATCCAGTTTGCCCCCATCTCAACAACATTATTACCTATAAATAAACAATTATTGTGAGTTTGCATTTTAAAAAAAGTGAACATTTTATAGTTATTACAGTGACACTTCCAACAGAGAGGCGTTGTGCTGGTTTTGAACGGGCTACGTTTCAATCTGCCATAATACATTTTGATACTGAAGCCTGAGAGATGTCCACTAAATAAGATACTAACCTCTAAAATTCATTTTTACATGAGCCTTTACATGATCAAACGTTCTGTGAAGAGGGTAAATAAGCTTTGTTCAGTTTTTGTGCAACTTTTTAAAGGATTCAGAAATACCAACAAAATCAAGATCTAATGTCTTTTTTACCAATTAAGAGTCTAGTTGCACTTTTAATCTCCAAAGCATTTTTTTAATTATTCCAAATTCACATCTCACTGTATAGCACTGTGTCCCTGCAGTAAAACCACCTGATGACTGTCGCCTTCCAATTCACTGATGCTGTCTAAGCTGAGCTGGTCTGACATTAAATAGCCTACATGTTCTTGGCAAACTGGCTCAGGTGAATAAGGAGTTAAAATGACTAGGTGCTCAGGTGAATAAGGAGTTAAAATGACTAGGTGCTCAGGTGAATAAGGAGTTAAAATGACTAGGTGCTCAGGTGAATAAGGAGTTAAAATGACTAGGTGCTCAGGTGAATAAGGAGTTAAAATGACTAGGTGCTCCCTTGCATTTTAAGCCTCTTTAGCATACTCACCCAATCTGGCTGTTCTTATTCTTCCTCCACTTCTCGCCGACGCCTCTAGTATCCGCACATTACTAAACCCGCAGCTGACGAGCTTGTGCGCCGCAGCTATACCCGATATCCCGCATCCGATTACAACAATATTCGTGTTCATACTCGCTGCGGCCCCTTCTGCACTAATGCCCTCTTTTACCGGGCAGTGGCGATGCAGTCAGATAACTCGCATCCCTTGCACGTTACTCAGGACCAGCCAGTCCATGGCACCAGACTACAAATAAGAGACGATACATTCGTTAGAGGGACACATTCACTTCCGGTTGTGAAGGCTGAGCTCGAGCGCAGCCGGACTCCTCAACCCAGATTCACGTTTTACTCACCGACGTCCTGTTATAGATTCGGTTGTTGTTTGACTGCTGTTCTTTGTTTAGCTGTTAGAAGCTGTGCAGAAAATTACTAGACTTTACTTTCACGGTGTTTCTGTACAACAGGGATTAAATTTTCTGTCTGCTGTGAGTTGACGTGGTCCTTTGTCTGGAGGGTACCTGTACTGTACATAGCTTCCGGTTGACTCGCATCCTTCGATTCGCTCCGGAGTTCAATCTGATTTGACTTTAAGCTGCGGAAGGTCCCAGACGGCTCTGTTTACATCCCCACCAACGCTCTAGTCCCGGCTTTGGGAAACAGCATGCTAGTAAACTCAAAAGACGGATGTTGGACCAGGAAGCGAATTAGTTACTGTTAGTGCACCAAGTGGAACTTAGTATTTTTACCTCTGGTGCCCTTTTCTTTAAAATATCACTTATAAAACGGTAAATGTCAATAAAAAATGAATATGGACAATGTTATTTATGTATGAAAATGCAATATATTGGAAAGACTCATTTTAATTTTGCAGAGCAAGGAGAGAAAAAGGCTGGACAATGAAGTAGGAAGTTCCAAAAACAATACTAATAGCTTCACATTAAGGTCGATTTGTCAGCAAGATTTCTACATGTTCAGAGTTCTTACAAAGAGGCCATTTTCATTTAATATTTAGTGCTGTATCCTTAATGGGTTTAATTGAAATATGATTACTCCATAAACTGCAGGGGTTGCCCGTCCGGGTTTGCAATAGCAGCAATGTCTTTACTGTAGTGCAGTGAAACAACATAAGATCAACAATATCAGACTTTACTGGCTGAAGTACTTTCCAGATTTTTTTTCATGACTGATTTTTAACAAACAGCAGCTCACATATACAGTAGGCCTCTAAATTAACTCTTTTATTGCAGTTTCTATGTAATTTTATTTACCTAATATCAAAAGTTATGGGAAATTGCAGACTTGCACATTTGATTTGATTTATTTATTCTTTCAAGCATATAAAACAGTTGATATAACACACATTTTTACACACAATCCAATATCAATTTGCTTATACCTAATACATGCTTGAATGGAGTAGGAAGAAGTCAGACTTATCCAGTCCTACCCCATGACATCATTAAGGCCCTCATCATAATAGTGGATACTGTGCTTGTCATGTACTAGGCTTGGAACATTCAGGGCCCCTGAAGTATGAAGTTTTGGTGTTCCCCAAAACTGAAATGAAACAGGGGTGAGGGATGGGTCCTCAGTTGGTGAATCCTAGTGGGTGCAATTTGAAAGTTCACCTTCCTGCCCAAGGTGAAAGGACGCTGTCATCATACTATTAGAGGGAAGCCAATAATTTCCACCAAGAATGAGGTGAAACTGGGGGAACTCATTAAGACAAGGGAATCATAATAAATAATCATACTGTGAGAAACCTACTTTGCACCAAAATTATTTACTAGCTGGATTATAACAAATTATAATAAGGGAATTTAGTCTTAAAATAAGACAAGTTTCAAAATGAGTAATTCTTATAACTGCATAGTTGGTAAGCTGATTTATAAATCAGGATTAATACATATTTAAAGTTAATTCCTCCAGTTTTCTTTACAAAAATAAACGAAGCAGCCATTCAGGTGTAGCTTTAATTCATTTCAATACTGTATTGATCACTTGTCTTGATTGCCCGTCTGAGCTGTCTGCCCTGAAATCCACTGTATAACATCTGATTTAGTTAAACCGCTCACACACAATGCTCCAATTAAACTCTGAGATTATAGTCTGAAAAAGTGGTAGATCTCTTTTTGTCAAAGCAGCATTATTTTAAAGTTTTGACGTGGCTGGCTGAGAGGGACTAACGGAGGAGTAGTGAGAGATGAGTCGATCGGCTTCTCTCCACCCTGTGAGCAGAGCTCCATGGACGGTAGAGAAGAAGGAGGGATGAGTAGCCTCTCCAGCAAACAACACCTGTAGGGGCTGAAGCAAACCAAGGCCGTTAGAATGAAGAGTCACAAACCTTGGTTAATTATGTATGTGTGGCTGTGTACACATTTCTGTTTTGAGTATGAACATGCAGGTACTTGTGACTGTGATCCCTTCGTAGGCAGGGGCTCCACCATGTTCTCCAAGTCCTGTGCTGAGCAGCCTTTTCCAAGGTAACTGTAGGATCCATGTGTCCAGGGGTCATGAAACCACTGGGAACGCAGGATTCTCCTCGGGGTGATGACAGGGTTACCTAAACACACACAGTTAGTCTATGAGTGCTGACATACCCTAGATCATTTTACAATGACCACAGTTAAGGAACAAAGTATGTAAAATACTTGTAATGGGAAGTAATACACTCTCAGTGGAGAAGCAATGTTTCCCAGTACTCATTTAAACTGACCTGTAAACCTACGAATAAGCTGTGTGATGGCCTGTGTGACCTCCTGTTCAGACAGCGTCTCCATATACTCGGACTCATGCCCAGCAATCCAGCCACACAGAACATGGCCATACCTGAAAGGCAACCCACAAGCAGGACTGCAGTCTTAATAAATACACTTGCCAGTTGATTTGCATCAAATACGACAAACAAGCAGGCAAGCATTTGTGCGCATAATGTGGTTGTTGACCTTTCAGTGGGTTTGAGCACAGTAAAGCCAAACAACTTCTTTATCCAGGGTCTCTGAACATCTGGCACCTGGTCCACCAGGACATCCTGAATCATGACAAGAGATAAAACAGACAGTTCAAGTGTTTGTACAATACATGTTAGATTTGTTGCTAAATGCTAAGACAGAAAAGGGCTATATGACATGTTAAATAACTAAAGCGTATCAGTTTGCATGTTAGCACCAGTAGTAGAGGAAGTATTCACATCCTTTACTTAAGTCAACCAGTGGTCCATGGCCCACTGGTGGTCTGCAAAGGCTATGTAGGTGGCCCCAGACCACACATTCAACAATGTAGTTTCACTGTAGGAATCCTTCCTTTTTATTTTATTTTTTAAAGTACATTTCTGTGTATTAATTATTGTTTGTGAATAATCAAATCCATGCAAATATATAAAATTTAGAAAAGCCCAGGTAACTGTCAGGAATAAATTAGCGGCCATCCAGTCGACCCCAAAACAGTGACCCTCACGTTAGTTCTTAGTCAGAATTTAGATCCCTGGGTCACAGTCAGTTGAAAACCCCTGATTTAAAGCTCTGGTTAAAAAATAGTCTACTGTACTTACTAACTCGAATTGTGTGAAGAGTGCAAGTCCTGCACTTGAGTGAGCTGAACTCTTGACTTGAGTGTTCTTTTTAATAATTCCTGAAGTGTTAATACGTTGCTGATTGACAATATTGACAGGCATAGGATTCCATAAGGCAGTTCATCATAAATCAGAGAACAGAAATATACCAAGATGGCAGCCACCGTGTTCACAATATTATATTTTGGTTTCACTTTGTGGGAAGTGGTGATACATTGTCTATCATTTATATATAGTCTAAGGTTTGCAAATTCCATACTGTAAATACACAGTATAACTGCATTCACTAACTACATTCCAATTCATTGGCTCACCTCGGTCTGATTAAATGTGTCTACACGTTATGTACAGTAAATGTACAGTATACCTTTATATAGTGACGACATGTCTCACCTCATCTTCCCACACAAGACAGATGATATCACAGTCAGCGTCCCACCATGGTGAATCAAACTCCACAAATATTTTATTGTTTGTTCCAAAGCCCAGTCTCTGGATGGAGTGCAGCTTGTGTAGAGGGAGAGGAGGACGGAACAGAGTTGAACGGTGCTTCTTCAGGTATCCTGACAAAACACAACAAAGTACAACAAGTTAGCTTGTGCTCAGTGGGAACTAGTTTGAATTTATGTTGCTAAAGAATCGCACAAACAATTTTTATGTTTAACAGTGATTAATATAAAAGTAGGTTTGCCAGTGTATAAGATTTTCACGGTATGATAACCATGTCAAAAATATAGTGATTTCAATTTTAAACATGATTTTAAAAAGCATATACTTCAGCATGTTAGTTTGAATCTCAGCACCTGTAGTAGAGGAAGTATTTGCATGCTTTACTTAAGTAAAAGTACTGCTTTGGAAATGTTATCATGCAAAAGTACTTAAAAGGGACATTGTTCTCTAAGGTGTTTGTTTTTGGTATATCCAAAGTAATCATGCACTGCTGATTTTCTTTTCTTTTTTGGTGGATGGAGTTTGGTGATTTCAGCCTGTCACTAGGTCCCTTGTCTATCACAGGGCTGACACTAAGAGACAAACAACCACACACACCCAGGGTCAATTTAGAGTCGCCAATCAACCTAAGCTGGCTTGGTTTGTTGGGCTGAGGGAGGAAGCTGGAGCACCCGGAGAAAACGCACTAAGGCACATGGAGAACATGCAAACTCCACACATGGCTGAAACCCAGAAACTTCATTCTGTGAGGAAGCAGTGCTAACCACTGCGCCTCCCTAGAAATATAAAATACTATGCTAAATATTTTACAGGGTCACAAAACTTAGGACCAAAGGCTAACTGTAAACAGATAAAGAACCTGTTATCTAAATCTCATCTCTGTTGTGCTTTACATTTCTCCACCTGTGCTGAGTGAAGCATTTCATAAAACACAATGTAAACTGACGATAATTATGTAACAAAAACAGCAACTTGTGCTCTGAGTTGCAGCTCCACCTGACATTTCATGCACTGAGGCTGACAATATACAGATTTTGGCTGTCTGTGCATATGATTCTACCTAGAGGTACAGTGACAATGACGTGATCAGCAGCGATCCTCTCCCCATCGTCACACTCAACCACAATAGGGTTTTCTCTCTTCTCTGAGTTGCTCCAATGGACACAACGCACAGGCCGATTGTAGCTCACTAAACCACTGGGGAGCTCCGACATCATGTTTTTGATTAGCCCTTCATAGCCACTACACGAAAGAGGAAAAAAAATAATGGTCAGGTCAATCTGACACATACTGTTTTCATGGCAGAGACACAATCAGTTAATTAACAGAATAAATAATGTACTTAGGTGGTGTGTTAACATTTAGTATTGTGATTTTGTTTCCACTCAGGGCTGGTTGATTTTTTATTTTGGCCAGTTCTCCCTTTGAAATTACATTTAATCTTCTATATCTGGCAATAAAAAATTGAAAAACTGAACTCTCCGAGTACTTATATTCTTCGTCTACTTGTATGTTACTCTGGTCTCACCTTGACCAGCAGTATCTGCAGGGAGCAACACTGCAAACACCCGAGACTTGCTTGCTTATCTCTATTTCATGTCACTACAAAATGTATATGTGGCGTATTTTTGGTTGCTGGTCAGACAAGCAATTGCAAGACACAACTTTCATTTATGAAATTATCAATATGTAAATGCAGCCAATAGGGATGTAACGATATCAAAAACTCATGGAACAATGTTGCCACAATAAAAAGTCCATGATATGATATTAAAAATTAAAGAAAAAAAGGAAAAATGTCCTTTATTAAATAAGTATTTTTGTATGATTTTCCTTTTAAGTCACACTCATGTTGGAACATCAGTGTTTTACTACCCCATAGGTAGGTTTAACTTTCTCTGTTTGGTAGTTGTGCCATCCAGTGGTTGGGTTCTGTCACTGGTCCGGATGAATCGGGTATCCCCCGACCAGCAGGGGCAGTAGTGAGTAAACCACTGCTTGGCACATCAGAATGAGGAGAAGAAGATGCTAAACTACACTAGGACAACCCACATAAAGGTGAGATTTATGCTTTACTGCAGGTGTTTTTCAAACATAGTGGTATACTTTTTTGGAAGAAAATATTTTACAAGTGGTTACTAAGTTGTTGGATTTGTGTATGTACACCCAGTTGGTTTGCCCATCTTCAATAAATGTAGTGCACAGCCATGCCCCAACCGTTTCTGTGAGATGTATCAAGGACTGTCTCAGTTCTAAATGGGGCCAGTATTGCCTTTGTCTGGCAGTATTTGCAATTTGTTTGTCAGTGTCCTTTCCACCCATGTCATTTCTTGAAACGGGGAAAGAGCTCTAAAAGTTGATGATCGACCTGAGCACAGTTATACTAGTGATATATATCAGAGTCTCACGATAAAATTAAGAATTTTTTCTATCGCGATATTGTGATATTACAAATATTGTTACATCCCGAAAGCCAGTGATGATTTAATAAATCTGAATAGTGGATTCATTGGTACTTTCTGCACCATATAAATGCAATGATGAAGTACAAACCCTGGGAATGTACAGTCCAGTCCAGGTAGAGTCTTGTAAAGACCATAGGCCCCCGGACCCACCTCATCCATGCTGTGAGCCCCATTAACACAGCACTCGCCCTTCAACAGGTTACTGATCATACACAGTCGCAGAGATCTGGTGGTTGCATCAATATCTTTCCACCTCTCTGCAGACCCACCTCATCCATGCTGTGGGTCCCATTAACACCGCACTCCAACTTCAACAGGCCACTGATCATACATAGTCGCAGAGATCTGGTGGTTGCATCAATATCTTTCCACCTCTCTGCTGCTCGTCGTTGCACCTGCACCAGACAACAAGCAACAAAACTGACTTTTTATTCTTGCAAGTTTCACTTTATTATCAAGAACGTAACATATTCCAGCCAGTCCTGAGCTCAGATATTGGCAGCCAATAGTATTATTTGTTTAGTCACTGAAAGAAATGTACCTCTGTCCGTAAAAATTCTCCCACACTGGCGCAGGGTTCTCCACCCTGACTATGAAACTCTGAGCATTCTTTCAGCAGCTCAGCAAAGAGCTCCTCAGCAGGATAGAGGTCCTCAGCATTCAGCTTCCGACCTGCACACATCACATAACCCACAGAATACTGACTGAATATCATCAGAACTGCCAACTTAAATCACTTCACTCATACAGTGCAGTAGGTATTTAATAACCATGTAGCATTAAATGAAATACACAAGTACCTGCAGGTGTGGCTTTAAATCATGTTAACTGCATCTATTCTGTTCTCTCTGACCTGCTGCAACTCATGTGGTAGAGTGCTATAAAAACTGTTATAAAGTCTTATCTTAAAGCAATAAAGTACTCTGTCTACAGCGAGAGGGCACACTGAAATGACTAGGTACTGCACTGCAGCCTGTTGTGCAGCCACCAGGGCAGCATAAGGGGGCAGATTATTATTCTGCTTGTCCTCTGAGTTATATTATCTGAGGTATAATCTACCACATGTATTTCAAATTTAAGACCAGAACCCCAAACTATGGTCTAAAGTAATATGAACTAAAATAACATCATCATGCCATGAAAATTCACCTTACTACTCTTTCAGCACTCCATATGTAGTTTTCTACAGCTACCCCTGAATCAGACTGAAAGGTTGATTTAGCTCTACTGCTCACATTAAAATAGACTGTGAGTTTTAGAACATCTGGTGACCTGAACTGCAGAAGATTTTGGGAGTCCAGGGGGGGTGTCCTGCGACATCCATAGCCTGGTTCTCTGGGGTGAGGGCCTCTGGATCCAGGAGCCCGTACTTACGAGCGAGAGAAAACACTGGGTTCTCCTCAGATGGCCCGTGGATCCAATTTGCCCCGATCTCCACAACATTATTACCTACACATAAACCACATATTGTGAACTTCCAGGAAAAAAAAATTTAATTTAATGTCCTTATATTGACCTTTGAATCAAAGAGGTGCTGTGCTGGGTTTGAATATTACATGTACTTCTCATTGTGCCACATTGGTTAAAGTACTGTCAATACTCCTGCAACAAAGAGAGAAGTGCAAAGAGCTGACTTTATGTTACGTTGACCTCCCATATGCCAAATAACTGTTTAACAACCGATTTGGCTTTAGCTTCTCATATGTGATTATTTTCTGGTTTCCTTAATGATCTATGACAGTGAACTCGGTTTGGATTTTGGACTGTTGACCACACTAAACAAGATACATGGAGACGCCACCTTCAGCTTCAGAAAAACGGGATGGGTATTTTTCATACTTTTCTAGCACTCCATTGGCACAACGACTGATCGATTAATAACCAAAATACTCAACGTAGGAATGATTAAAAACTAATTGTTAGCCCGTTATTTAATAACATTACTAGTCCATATGACTGCACTGTCCTGTCCAGTTTGTTAAGGAGTCAGCCTGCCCAGAAATAAACTGCTGAAGTCAAACCTTTTCAATGTAATGACATGATAATAATGTGACATGTAGGATTGTGTTCCCGTGCATTTAGGCCTCTTTACTCACCCAATCTGGCTGTTTTTATCCTTCCTCCACTTCTCGCCGATGCTTCTAGTATCCGCACATTATTAAACCCGCTGCTGACAAGCTTGCGAGCCGCTGTTATACCCGATATCCCGCATCCGATTATAACTATATTAGAGTTCATGCTCACTATTACAGCACCTTCTGCACTAATGCCCTTTACTGTGCTTGCAAAATCTACACAACTTCCTGTTCCTTCTTCTTCTTCTACTGCCGTGTAATGGCGGTTGGCAAACAGCTTTGGGTGCATTACCGCCACCTTCTAGACTGGAGTGTGGATCAGAGCGGCCCCTACCTACTACCATAACAAAATAACCTCAGTTCACATGATATTATCTTGCTTAACCCTATACTCGCTAAAAACCTAAGACGTGCTCACTACCCTATATCCCCCGAGCTTTTTTTTTCAACACCTCCGTTAAACTAAATTTCATTCCTCCACTTTGAACTGTATTTTTAAATCCCAAAGTAGTGAAACTTATTCCAATAGGTAGCATAGCACCAACAATAGCATTATGGATTATTAAGCTTGTTAACCAGCAACACATCACATGCAGCAGACACACTGGCCTCAAGCAGTTAAAACAAACAGGTACTGTGCTCTAGGGGAATCCAGCATTGATGAGCTGATCATTCACCGCCCCAGGTGGCTTCACTGGCTGGCTGATCATAGGTTAGAACCCTTCAGGTAAAACAACAGGGCCCTGTACATGAACATTCCCGGACATGCAGTAAGTTTAGGCCCTGTATTTCTCTCCACATCCTCTGGTCAAAGTGCAGGCAGCAGGAGGTAAAATATAGTTGAAAAAGTCTGCTTTTAAAATGGCACCGGTGGATATCAGGCAAGCTCACATGAACTTGCAACTGCCTGGAGATTATGACCATTCACGGAGATCCTTAAACTATCTCTTAATACTTTATTTTATTAGGGAAAAAAGTCTTGTGAGAGTTTGTGAGACTTGTATAAACTGTGTTGCTTCTGCATAGAAGTACTAGAACATACATATACCCAAATTTTTTAGGTTTAGGTCATGTCTGAGATAATAATTCACCATTGTATCATTGTAGATAAGTCAGACAAGGAAAAACATGCTATGGGCTCTTTAAGCCATACTTATGGCCCACAATGCTGTAATACTTGTCACCCATTACAAGAGTGATGGAAAAAGCTAAGACAGGTACTGAGTCTGTTTGGTCAGAAGGTGGCACCAGTGGATAGGCCATATTGTTTCCGAAATCTAAAGGGGTTATCCTCTGTACAGTAGACAGTTTTGGTTATTTTCATAATCAGCTTACCAGGCGGGGCTCTGTGTTGGAAAACTGAGACTCATCACTGTAAACTGTAATTTGCTAACTAATGTCAATGTGTTATATGCAAGTTACACCATGCTCGTCGGTTTTCATGTGACCGAGTTGGAAACAATATAATAATTGTACACTAAGACTGTGATTGGTGGTCTGACCAACTGCTCAGGAAGAGTCATTGCCACTGTAAATTACAATTACAATGGCAACTACAAAAGCAACTTCACAAAAATACTAATTAAATACTAATAATGACATTTAGTGACAGTGTCTACCAGTGCATTAGTAGTTCTGGTCTTTTTGTATCTTTTTATTGTGATTTATTTGCAGTTCCTGGTGCAGTGAGAAATACTGCAAAAAATATTAATGGTTGCAAAAACTCCTCTGTGACACATACTCAACAAATACAAATATTTGAGCTTTTTAAAATTTAGCATTTACTTTTGATGTTCATATTGTGTGAGTCTGTGCACAAGAGGTGTGTTTTTATACTCTATGTGTGGGGGTACAATAGTAATAATTATTAATATTATTGTATGATTATTGCACTAACAATAATTGTGAACTGACTGTAGGTAAATGTTGAAGGTCAGGGTTGATTGACAAACTACCACAACAGTGTTGCTGTTTATGAAATGGTGGGAAAAAGGAACAGCCCCCTCTCTCAGGATACCCTTATTGTGTAATGCTGATAGGGTTGCACACATACACACACACACAACTCATGGGAACTAGCTGGCAAAGATGGTCACTCTGAAGAACAATGCTAATCTGTGCTCCAGTTACAGTGGAAGTTCAGGAAATAATAAAAAGAGGCTGTTTTCTTTGTGGGAAGCCTGAGCTGGGAGTCAGCAGATATCCAGCAGCATTTATAAAGGCCACACTAAAACTGATTTATTAGTGTACATAAAAAGGTCCAAGTCAGAGAAAACATCACCAAAAACAGTTTGTATAAATATCTATACCTGCAGTAAGAAGTTTGGTACAAAATGCAAATGTATTAATAGCAGAGTTACCAAAACAGTGACACGTGGTAGAAACAGCAGATCCTACAAAGCTGCTGAGATATTCAACTCTAAAAGGAGAAGCACATTGGTGTATGATATGGTTCTATTGCAGCCTTTACTTTGACATGTTTACCTCTACATTCCCTATTGTATCTGAAAACATTTCTATAGTAAATCAATAATCATTAGTGTTGCACCCATCTCTCTCTCTCTCACACACACAGGTTATATCAGTATTTACTCTACACTCTGTCACTGGTGTGAGCTCTGCCTTTGAGCTGGTGCAGAATCATTGACCTCAGAGCGCTGTATCTGCAGAGGTGAGCAAATATACACAATTAAAGACTTATTTACTAAAATGGTCATATACATACACAGAAATACACTTTCAAATACACAAATTCCAAAATATTTATTTATACTCCTGTAGAAAATAACATGCCTAATATTATTTTTCCAAGCATCAAACTATAACTTTAAAGGTTTTTCACACTGGAAGCAAATATTTTGTACTTTTTTTTTTCAAATGACAATAATTTTCAAACCAATATTCTGTCAACTGACCCTTGCACGTCAATAACAGAATATCACTTAGCGAAAAGTGGCATTCATTTTTTTCGCCCCAAAGTCTACCATTTTCAAGTTTTTGCCGGTGACATGAACACATGTGACCAATCATGACACAGCTTGCTGGAATGTTGCAACAGTTACCACAAGCGCCTGGTGCTATTCTGGGTCGATTGGGTCATTGTAATCGCCTTCTGCCTCTTCAAGCGCTGTAGCAACAACTCAGTTTAAAATGATTACACAGTCTTGCAAACAGTGAGTGATGAATGCCTCTGACTGTCCCTATTAAAGGGCAGCGGCCTTGTTATAATTCTGTAATGCCAGCGGGAGACAGATTTTGGCTTCACATTATGAAACACGAGTTTTTGAAAGGAGTCTTTGTCTAAATTGAATCTAGTTATTCAACTCTCTTTACTGAGTAGAGATACTGGACTTACTTTTTGGTCAATTTGTTTATCTCCCGTTCCTCTTCCTCTTTAAGTTTTTCTACAAAGCTGTCTAAAACAGGGATCTCAAACTTTATGTATTGGGCAACCTGGGGAGAAAAGTCAGACATATCAGGACAAGTGATACAATCTTTATGTAGAATACTGTAACTACATAGGCATCTAAATGGTTTTACTACTTTTCTCTGTCCAAAAAAAAAAAATCTAAACAATAGGAATACATATAAGACACTAAAACGTGGACTATTCTGATTGATTGCAACCCAAGATGATCTTTTCCAAAATGTAACTCTCTCAATTACTAAAAACAAACAATAGTATGCACGAACATGTTTCCAGAAACAGGTTCCCTGTTATTGTGGATAGTCGACTGAACCATGGTGCCACCCCTGCCAGTGTGATGCTTGAATGGCAAATGAAAAACAATGACAAATAGTTTCCTTAAATACAACAAATATTTTTCCAGTACTTTATAATTAATATTGGTCAAATTACTTTTATTTTACATCATGCATGCAGCATGATACTTGCATTCATTCCTCTGACTATGTTGTAGTGGTGGTGGTATGTGCTGAGGGGGCAGCAGGGGGTAAATGACTTTTTACATGTATTTCAAATGTGCCACCCCTCTATGAGTCTGTGTCCCAGCCTGGCCACCCCATCCAACATTTCCTAGATCTGCCCCTGGACTGAATGCACACTGAACTGACTGTAAGAGGACTATATCTAAAGCAAACAGTCTAAAGCATGCTCTTTGTTTCATCTAGAGAGTAACAAGCTTATTTCTGGAAAGAAAAAAAATACGGTTGAATAATTTTATGTGATCTTGTAATGCTCCAAGAAACAAAAACAAATTCCATTTACCTCCATTGTGTTGGGGTAAGGTATGCGAAGAGCTGACCCTTTATTTAAAGGATTAATTGTGGTACTAGCTGAATGTTACAAAGATGATACAGTATGTTTGAGAATGATTACAATTATAAGACAATCCAGAAATTTCTGTTGCAACAACCTAGTTACAGTGTGCTTATTTTGTGCACAACACACAGTCAGTCATCTTAGCCTATTGTTACATCAGTCCCAAAACAGGATATCTTTTCTCAGCATGCTAAATTTAACCCAGCTGTGTATCAGTGGTCCATTGTGTTATTGTGCATGTATGTCAAGGAGTACACACAAAATGGAAAAAAGTCATTATCTTGAGCAAAATGAAAGAACAGAGAGAGTTTTAGCACACGAGCAAGACTCACATGATACGTGACCTCCTCTCCCAGGTCGGCCTCCATGATGAAGATCTTGGAGATTTTCTCACAGGGTCCATAAAGCACACGGGCGACCAGTGGGTATTCACTGTCCCTCAGGCGGGTCCTCTCTACAAGGTCACAGACAAAGAAAGCACCTGACTGCAAACATACACGCCAAGACACACGTACATGAATACACAAAACTATAGTTGTAGTGACAAAACCACAGTGAAATGCAATGTATGACTTACCACCTGATTCATGAACCATATAAAGGACAAACTCTTCTGATTTAGTCTCCACCTTAAAAGACACAAACAGATGACTACTACAGTAGCTTTTAGGTTTTACTGAAACACTACTTGAGGTGCAACCAGTGTCTTACTGCTCACCCTGAACTTGTGTAGCAGCAGGTTGAGGACTTGCCCAGTCGTCATAGAGCTATTTACTCGTACGTTAGTGACCGACCCATAGGCTGGAGTAAAAACAGATGTCTGAAAGCCAGAGAAACATGCAGAAATCAATAACGGAAAGGACACAAAGTTTTAGAAACACTGTTTCATTAACACTTATGACCCTAGATCTGAGTCTACATCCCTGAACTTGAATACCTTTGACATTTTAAACAGGAAATCAGCTGCAATCTGTCCAGTAACAACACAAGTTGTATATTCAGGAGACCCTGATGAAGGAACTCAGTGTAACCATGTATCTGTGGCACATTAATGAAATCAGCCCTCAGCAAGCTATTGTGTAACTCAGTATGAATACAGACACACCTACACAGGAAACCACTGCCCCTCTGCACCTGGAGATGCGTCAACAAATGGATATATCAATGTGTGTTCTGTTTATTGTACCTTGTGGTTATAGAAGTGTCCATTGATGGAGAACCTGTGTGTGCGCAAGCGCTGCAAGTCTCTGTTGGTGTGTGTGTTTGATCTCCTCTTAACCCGCATAAAGGAAGCATCACTCCTGGTCCTCAGCAGCTGAGGAGAATCCTCTTCCTCCTGACCACACCTGTCACCACCTCAGGGAGGCACATAAACAAAAACACACACAATGCGGTTACACTGACAAGAGGTCACATGACATCTGCAGTTAACATAAAGTGAGCTTAACATGTGGTGTTCCACAAACGTCTGTAGGTGTTCCTGATTGTTTTTCTTTTAACTTTCATTTTTTGATCACACATGATAATCACACATTTAGAGAACACCATGTCAATTTAATGAATTAAGTTAAAACTACTTTAATGTAACTTAATCAACTCAAATACATAATTTAAACACTCTAATCCAAAACAGTGTTGGTTCACCTCACTTATATAATTTCATGCATAAAAAGTGACCAATAATGAAAAGCAGATATTTCATGTTGGTATTCATTGCTGTTAAAACATTTGATGAACAATCCTTTTACTGTGAAGAGTATGAACATGCCTTCAACTTCATATGACTAAAGAAATACATGAGCTGCCTACTATTCACCATTTGCATAATATTAATTCATTCACTGAATCACCAACATCACTGTATATTAAATAATGGTTATTATTAACACTTGAAGTGGCCTCCTAAAATGCATGTTATTTTTTCCAATCCATACAATAGGCCATATTTTGTGTGTGTGTGTGTGTGAGCGAGAATGTCTGCACTTCTATGTCACTCACTAGCTGGTCCCGTTTCTCTGCCTACTGTATTATTGTTAGATTCTGCAGGTAGTTGCTTTGTCAACACAGGTCTATCATTTCTGCAGAAAGACAGAAAAAATTGTTAAGCATACATGGACATTACCAACAATCTTTACAGTAAATAATTTTAAATGCATTCAGAAGTTGTGCAAATGTAACATTTAGTAGATAAAAACTCAAGGTCCACTTTCTTTTTTTTTTTTTTAGCTTTTTACAGGATTTTCAGCTTCTATTTCAATGAAGACATGAAAGTAAGGAAATGAGTGGGTGGACCTTGAGCTAAAGGAACAGATTCATATTTTGGGGACTGCACACATCTGCGTGCTCAGCACACAGAAGCATCTGTGTGTCAGGCTGCATCAGAGTGTTATACCGATTGAGACGGAATCTTTCATTGTCATCATGCATCTGAAGTCTGATTGGTCGCCGTAGGCCCCAGTATATGTTCAACAACCCCTCAAGGATTAGTTCTCCATCCTCCTACAAACACACACACACACACACACAAATAAAACAATAAGTCTCAGTAGTCATGGTCAGAAGGGATATCCTGCTGACTGCCTGCCACAGCAGCTCAATATCAGGTATACGTGCTGGATGAGGCACTCACAGCAACAGGGTGAACCGTCTCATCTTGGAGAAATGTCATGTCTGAGAAAGTAATAGTTAGAAGAGGGCCACAAGCAGCTTTGGGTCACATATGTATGGACGGACGAAAATGGTAACACTGCTGTATGTGCTCTAATAACAGAAAAAACTGTCACCCTGCTTGAATTTTAAATGTAAAACCGAAATAAAAGGTCCCTCACATGTTGGCCTGAATGGTGAAGCCTGTGGTTGGACAGCCAGAGAGAGTAATACAATGCAGCATCTGTCAAATCCACTGATTTATGATCCAGAGCTGCTGTAACACCCTCCCCGAGTCACAGTTCTGAAAGTCAAATGCAAATGCGGGACCTACGGGGAATGCTGAGGCTGAAAGGGACAGACAGGACAGCATGTCTGGTGACACTGTGACATTTTATGTGTCCAAGAAACATTTTTAGCCAAACAAGACCTGGTGGTCACCTTATGGAATAGCAAATATGACCTGCTGATTAAAGTGATAAGACCTGGCTGTTGGCAGACAGATTAAGTGTGGGACATCTTGAACATGTATACCCCATGTGAGTGCCTTCATAATGAGGATGAATCTTAACAGGTTGGCATTTATTATTGTTGCCATTTATCTAGGATAATGGATCTACTTGTTGTTGGAGACTTGAACATTGATGTTGGAGATGCTCATTCAGTGTTTGGAAACCATCTAATGCAGCTCTTGCCTGAAAATAGTTTCACTTACTGTATATTAGTATAGCTTGGCATCTTGATCACTATATCTATAAAGTAGATGCACATGGTGCTAGAGATTATATACCTGTGAGTATAGTCTAAGTTCCTTCTTATGTCAACTCTACTTAAATTAACCTTCATAAAAGAAGCAACTGTGCATCTCCTTGATGTTAACAAAGCAAAATGAGCTTCCAAACCACAAAACTAGTCACTTCTATGTGAGTGACATTTAACAAGCAAAAACAAGCCATTTGTTTAATACCAACTTAATGTATTGTTTTATGTCTGGTCTTAATTTGTAATTTCATTTAAGTAATTATATTTGTAATGCAAACATGAATTTGAGTTTTATTTTGCATTCTCAGACTTTTGACCTTTACCTTATATATATATATATATATATGACACTTATTATTCCCACTCTCACTACCCATGAGGTAGGCAGGTAGCATTGCCTAAGGACCCAGGTGGGATATTGACCACGTCCTGACCGGGGTTCTAGCCCTCGACCTTCTGTACCAAAGTCAGTGGTGTTACCCACTGAGCTATCCCATCTGCTATAATATAATATATA